CTGGGGGCGGCTCCGCGCGGGCCGCAGCGGCTCCTGGCAACGTCCCTTCGAGGAGGAAGTGCCCGCAGCCGGGACCCCTCGGTCTGGTGCTGCCCTGAGCGGAGGCCCGAGCTGGAGCTGCCCGCGAATCAAGTCAAATTTATGGGGACCGTCCTCATGTTCCCTTCCCAGCTGCTTCCCCGCGCGCTGTAGCCGGTGCTGTAGCACAGCTTCGCCCACCGGCGCTGGGCTGCGGTTGGATGTTTGCACCCGGGGAGATGGGAGCACCCGGCACAGCTGCGAGCCCCGTCCCGGGCCTCCTGCGCCGGCTTCTTGGCCTTGTTAGAAGCCCAGTCAAATTTATGGGGACCGTCCTCATGTTCCCTTCCCAGCTGCTTCCCCGCGCGCTGTAGCCGGTGCTGTAGCACAGCTTCGCCCACCGGCGCTGGGCTGCGGTTGGATGTTTGCACCCGGGGAGATGGGAGCACCCGGCACAGCTGCGAGCCCCGTCCCGGGCCTCCTGCGCCGGCTTCTTGGCCTTGTTAGAAGCCCCGTCTGCCCCCCGGCATGGGGAAAGCGTCCTACCTCTTCTGGACTTATTCGGGTTTATTGGGCAGGAATGTCTGGAAAAGCTTTTACTTAGTGTTGATATTCTCCATGTAGAGGAGGATTTTCTGTCCAGATTAAGGTGCAGTCTAATGAGATGAGTTACTTGGATATGTACTAAACAGAAGTATTTAACGCAAAACTGTGCGGAAAGTTCTGTTGAATGTAATAGACATTAAGAGCATTATTTTGGTTTTGGTGGGGAGTATGATGCCACAGTGTCTATATTATTTTATGCTGTAGCTGAAAGTGTTAGGAAAAATCGGTCAGATTTTGGCTTTTGCCTTCTTCTCTAAAAGGTCTAATGTTTGTCCACATCTGTATTTTAAAATCAAGCTGGGGCATCTTGTTTTTTGCCCTGATTCAATTTTATCTCGCTGATTTGTTCTTTTTTTAAGTATAAATTTATTTGAAAAATTACATATGTTTGGAATTGATATTTTTTAACTTTCATGAACATCCGTATTAATTCTATTTTACCCTCTTTTCAGCGTCTGAAGCCTGGTGGAATACTGCAATGGCAGCTCAGATGACTGATAGTCATCGACGGTTCCTGCAGGTCCTGATGTCTCATGGGATAATGGAAGGATCAGAGGCTAGGAAATTACACAGGCATTGCTGTGAAATGCATAAAGGTTTGTCTGACTTTCTGAGAAAAAGTGTTGAGAATAAGATGGGAGAACTTTTTTTTTCTGATATTCTGATATAGTTTACAAGTAGTTAGATTTTTAAAGTTATATATTTAAAATTCTATTAATTCTCGCCAAGAATAGTGTTATATCTCCAGGATGTTTTCCTATATGCTATATGTATGCTATATTCGTATGCTATAACAAGATGGATTTTATGCTATGTAGAACAAAAATTTGGTTATATGCTTTCAAATTTGTTAGAGGTTCTTCATTGAACAGAAGTACTACAGAAATGTGTAATCAACTCAATTATGATTTTTTTTCAGAGATCGACCTGTATCTGTAAGTGTGAATTTTTACTAATTTTGAGAATGTAGTGGGTACAACTGGACTAAACTTGAAATGAGCAATGCAGTTAGTATTAATTAATCTGTAGGTTTTAGTTGTAAGTTAGATAGTAGAGCAAAAAAAATGCTAATTGTCATTTCACAGAAAAAAAAGAAAGTAATAAAATTCCCATTTTTTCTTTTCTACATGATGAACAAAATTAAAAGGAACAAGGAATGTGTAAAAACAAACAAAAAAACCCCTGCCATGTGAAGGGAAATGTTCAAATGGTGCATAAATTAGTAATTTTAACAAATTACTGTTGAAAGTTGGATAACTCCAGAAAGTATGTTCCTTAAATCACACGTTATAAGAAGCGATGTCTACTGAATGTACACCTCAAGTTATTCCTCTTGTGCTCTAGTATTTAAGGTTTTAAAAATAAAAAACATCACAACATTTATATTTGAGGGATTTGTCAGTTGATGCTGTTTATGTTAGCCTGTTGAGAGCTAAGCCAATAATCGTAGGGGAACTGAACTATTCAGTGTGTTACTGAAGTGTTTAGGATAATAATCTTAGCATCACTGTTGCTAACTGTGCTTTTCCCCTGTTAAGAGAGAAGAGATTATAGTCAGCGATAGGGACAATTACTCATTAACCAAGACTTGAGAGTCTTTGCTAGAAGAGCCCATTACCTACATATTTTCCTTAATTAAAATGTGTCAAGCAGATTCCATAGATTTATTTAAACTTTGCTGGGCTTCTTTCAGCAGCTGTGCAAGTTCCTGACTGAAAAATAGAAATTCCTGACTACAGAAATGGCATGACAAATTCCAAACTAGAAAAATAGTGTTTCTCTTAGTTGTTTTCCTCCTGTTTTTGTGAGAAGTGAGTCACTGAAGTGTTTGGTAAATGCATTTAGTAAGCGGTCTAGATGAACAGCTTGGATATAATCAGTTGTTTGTTTACAACACTTGTGAAAAGTGTCTAAAGAGAAAAATTTTACAGCTAGATCCTGTATTGAGTATGTAAGATCAGGGGCTAAAGTAACATTAATTAGAAAGGATTATTTATTAGGAAGAGTTTTTTTGTTTAATAGGTCCCTTGCAACTGCTGCCTACTGAGTACTTCATTTTTTTTTGGTATAGTGGCAGCCAGTATGCAATGGAAAGGATTGTGAAACTACTCAGATACGGCGTGGGAGTTTAAAGTGTAACACTTTTATTAATGCTCTACCTGGGAAGGCTGTGTGCCATGTTGCGAGACAAAGGGATGTTCAACTTGACTCATTGAATGGAACATTTTTTTTTGCATCTTTACATCTGTTAGGAATAAAAAAATATATTTTACAGATCATCTTTAGCAGGGCAGAGCCACCACAGTCTTGTGAGTAGCGATATGAGGAAGCTCAGCCTGTTTGTAGTATTTCTAGAAGTTCTGTTTTTGATGTATATTCTTCAAATACATCTTAATAACGCTTACTGCAATCAGAACGCATTTTGGTTTCCAGTCAGATCAATGCTAACATACCTAAAATGTACCTAGGATGGCATAATTGAATTAATTTATTTCCCCCACAGATCGTGTTATATAATGAGGCTGTCAACTATCTGATGATAGTTTCCTTAAATATAAAAGAATAAATAAGCTTTGTCTGCTGAAGCCAAGTCATACAGTAACTCATCTATATAGCCTCTGAGCAAAGTGATCTGGCCATTTTCCCTCCTGGTATTTAGCTTGTTCTCTTGTTCTGTTTTATTTCAAAATCACAAGGCTTTTGGCCAGCAGACACCTTCTTGTTGTTTGTGCAGCACATCAGTGTTTGCTGTTAGCAGTCAAGAACCTGTACTAATCTGCCTAACACTGCTAGAAAACATGCAGTTCAGTTAGAATACATATTGAAGGACTGTGAATTTGTATCTATTTATCCATAGAATTTAAGGCAGGAAGGAATTAATGCAACAATCTATTTTTGTCTACCACCTAAACCAGGCCATATTTTTTAACCAAAAAAAAAAAAAAGAAAAAAAAAACATTTTTTTTTTCCTGCATTTCAGATGACTGGATTGAAGCCTAAAATGTGGAGAAGCCTATTAGGTGTTTGTTGAGATGTATTCTCCATGTTGAAAGAGAATATACAAAGAAAATACACAAAAAGAATACACAAAGAAAAACAATGACAGAAGATTGGGTACCTGAGTCTGTACTGAACCACTATGGTAGCTTAGTGTGTTAGCTATCCCCTAGGAAGTGGTTACACTTTAAGTCTAAAGTCTTCTAAAGTCTTTGCTATGACTGATTACTGAAGTTTGTCAAGAAGTTTTCAAGAGTATCTGCCTTGATATGTGGGTGGAAATCCAGCCACCCAGTTTGAGTAACTGGATATTTTCCCTGCCTGAACACCTTGGCAGTTTGATTGATTCATTCTACAGAGTTGCGTTGCAAAAACACTCTTAGAAGCAGCAACTTCTGCTTCTCTGTGATTCTGTTTTCATAGGAGGCCTGAAACATATATTGTAGGTGAGTGTGTATAGTGAGGTTCAATGTGAATGGTTCTCTATAAAGATAAAATATTTTATATACAAGTAATATATATAATATTTATATATGAATAATATTTTTACATAAAATAATATGTTTAAATAGTATATTTAAAATAATAAGCAGGACATACATAAAAAATAACCATGACTGATGAAGTCTAGTCCATAGGTAAAATGTCATTCAGCAATTTGAGGCAAGAATCGCCTTTTTATTTCTTTTTACAGTATCTTCTGCTCTTAGTTTCTAGTTGTTCCCCAAATTAACAAAACAAAAAGATTTTGCAAAAAATACCATTATGAAGTGCAACTAAGACTGTTTTGATTTTAAAGGACTTCAGACAAGCTCTTCGATTCTCTTACAGATAATGGTCCCATCTCATTTTTTCCTAGCTGTAAAAAAGCTACCAGGCAGAACATTCAATCTCCATAGGGAGCTTTTTATATAAATCTTCCTGTTGACTACTAAAGGGAATAAGTAAAGTAAATTAAAAAAAAATCTGAATGTCTTCAAAACTGAGGAGTGATTTAAAGTCCAAAATAATTTGTCATGTTATTCTTTGCGTATACTTCTAGTTTTAGTTTAATGCTGAAGTTCCTAAACTGATGAATTGCATGTCAGAAGTTGTATAGAAGGAAAACAAGAGCAGCTCTGCAGACTAGAACTGCACTTAATCTTCTGCATAATCTGTTTACAGAGAACACGGAAACTGAAGTGCATAGACGTGATAAATTTATGTTTGGGTATTATACGATTAAAGGTTCCTGTCACTTTTCTTTTAAAGCATTTATTCAGCTTATTTGTAGTCTTTTGCCTTAAATGTGGGAGCCCTAATCTTACAGCAGTCTGTGTGTTTTTGCAGTTTATCATGAAGCTGTGGCTTCTCTGACTGACCTTAGTAACAAGATTCCTTATGTTTGCTTGTCTTTAAAAAAGAGGCAAAACAGTGGCAGTTTAAAAGGCAATAATTAACCAATATGCAAAGTGAGAGTTAGTATGCCCTGGTACCTGCTGCATATAGTTTGCATAAAGATGTGTTCAGAAAATATTCTGGTTTCTCCTAGCACCTTTACATTTTATCACAGCCAGGGACCTTTTCTGTGGAAAATATTTGAGTTTAAGAGTTTGTCTAAATTAAAAAGCAAAACAAACAACAACAACAAAAAAATAAAACCCAGTATGATCTTCTATCTCTCTGTCCCTGAGCTAATTTCTTGTAAAGAAAATGTTCTCAAGCAGTGTCCTACACTAGTGTATAATGAGCTCTTCTTCTAATGCAGCCACATGCTGCCTTTATTGAGTGTTTGGGGCTGAAGATTGTTTACTGACAGAGGATAAAGAACAGAAGCTGGTTCCATGACATACTTGGTTTGCAATGCTGTGCACAGCTTTGTTCTGTGCATAATTGGAACTGAAAACTGGAATAGCTATTTGCTTTAATTTTATTTGACTGAAAGCAGATTACGATAAGTAGATCTGTGATATGGTATTAATTAAGATTACACTTTTTTCCCTAGAGAAGGAAATAATTTATTTCTGTTACAGAAATATCATTTACAGCAACTGTTAGTTAGGTTTAGGCTATTATTTTTTAAACCGGTACATTTTGCTGGAAAGCTATCAGAAATGAAGACCTTTGAAAAAGTTTAATATTCTGGAAGTAGAGCAGTCCCAGCTTTAATAAGCATCTAACTCATTCATATCACAAATAGGCTTTTTTAACTGCAGTTGTTTGAAGCAGTTTTAACACTCTGAGCTTTCTGACATCTTGCCCAAAGAAAATGGGCAGATAGATTCCTCTGTATGTGGTGCCAGAATATGAACACTGTTGATAATTAGGGCATTAATATCCACCTTTTAGTAATATCACATTAGTTTGTCCTATTTTTCATGAAATCTTTTACAGTATATTGCTGGGTTTTAGTAGTAATATGTTTGAATAAACAGTTTCTAACCAATTAGTTAGATTGGAGGTTATTAATAATACAGCTTCATGTACAAGAATTGTTTCATAGAGAAATCACAGAAAGGTTGATCTAGGAAGGGCCTGTCGAGACCCTCTGCTCCACGCTCCCCCAGGGCCACCTCGAGCACGTTGCCCGTGACCGTGTCCAGGCGCCGTCTGAGCGTCTCCAAGGAAGGAGGCTCCACGGCCGCTCCGGACACCCTGCTCCAGTCCTGTGTCACCCTCCCAGGAAAGCAACTTCTCATGTCCAGATGGACCGTCCTGTGTTTCAGGTTGTGCCGCTGCCTCTTGTTCTGTTACTGGCACCACTGAGAAGAGTCTGGCTCTGTCGTCTTTACACCCTCCAGGTGTGAAGGGCAAATCAGGCAAAGGGAAGGTCAGCAAAAAGTGTTTCAGGAGAACATAAGAAGGTCTGCATAAGGCTTTTTTCTTCTTTTTTCCTTTTTTTCCCCAGTCTACTATGCACATGATAAATTGGATGATTTCATCAATACTATTAACGTCCATCTGCAGCCTTTGTTCATGCAGATCCGGAAAGGAATGTCTGAAGACGACGGGAGAGTGCGTTATGCCCTGGTAAGTATGTGACCTGCTGCCGTCTTATGATGAGCGGATAAACTGCTGCATGGAGCAGGGAGGAGAGGTCACCAGTGTCACTGATGTAGGTAACCTTGGTGGATAATGTGCCAATGAAAGGTACAGATGGCTTCTAATTGTCAACTGCATAAAAGTCTTATCTCTATCTGTGCATAATAACACAAGGTTACTCTAAGTGCCAGCTTGGGATGTTACGAAGTGTGAGCTAACTGTGATTCTTTGTTTACTTATAAGAACTGTGCCATTCACAGAGGACATGCAAGTGAAGGGTGCTCCTTACTCTCAGCAGTGTCTTGTTTTGTTTCTGCTGGGTTTTTCCCTTCTTAGGCTGACAGCTGCTGTATAAGCTACACATAGAATAGGAAAGTGGGAGGATAACTTGTCAACACCATAGGTGTGTGGGAGTGGAATGGCACTAAGGACCACAGTACTGTCTGCTTTATGTACTGTAAACATTGCCTAAGGTTGAGAACTGAAGATTTTTTTTCACAGATTTTTCTTTCTCAAGAGGAATATTTCAGCTAGAAAGCAGTGAGAGCTTTCTAATATTAGTTTTCTTTTTTGCTTAACCAACAAGGTACCTAACATAAAAGGTTTGCTAAGCAATAACGTAAATATAATTTCCCTGAGTGCTCTGAAATCTAGAGTTCAAAGAGGAAAGGTTATTCAGTAATGTAAAAAGACCATACTGGAAGTCTTCTAATGTTAACTGCCACTTTTAACCTTTATGTTGGGTAATTTTGCCAGTTCACTCGGGTTAATGTTGAAGAGCAGTAGCAAGAACAATACAAGTATGAAGTATCAATAACTGTGTTTCATAATGAAATAAAAATATGCATTATAAAATATTTACCACTATTGTCTAGAACAGTATATTAGTTCTACTGTGTGACTTTGTATCTTGTCTCAAAACCTGGCATTTTTTTCTAGTAGCTTAATACCAACTTAAGGCACAATTCTTCTCTGCTTGTCTATCTCCATTTGTCCCAAGTTTCTGCGGGGCTGGAGTGCTCAAGAGAGAGCACAGAGCCTGCTGTGGAGATTATGGGCTGATCAGGGTCTGCAAAAGGAGGGTTTTGGTACTGGCTTTAATGAGTGGCTTCCTTCAGGCTACTTCAAGAACTGAAAATTATGTTAATTTTAAGATGATGTATTCTTTTCACTGGAGTATCTTTAATAATTCAGAATGTAGAAATACAACAGCATTTTGATCTCAGTATTATTTTTACAGGTGAATCTGGCAGAGACTGAAATTACTAAAATGGCCTCTGATTATGCAGAAAATGAATTAGAATTGTTCAGAAAAACAGTAAGTATGCTATTTATTAGTTAGCAAATTATATTATTTGTGAGGGTATCTTCTTAAAATGAATGGAAAATTGAAATGCTTTTCAGCAAGTAGTTGCCATTTCATGTAAGTTTATAATTCTTAATTTTATACCAAATCACACAGGGGGAAAAAATAATATACAGAAGCAGTAATTCCCTGTTAAAACTCAGTTGTTGTTAAACTGAAATCAGTAACAGGGGAGTGCTCCTTGGAGTGAATGACTTGGTATATCTGCTTGTAGTTAAGCAGACATCCTTCAGCAACTTTATTCTAGAATTTTTAGCTGGAATTGTTGAATATTGTTAAAATAGAGGCACATTCTCACAGGTTTCAGCATTCCACTAATATACATTAGGTTTTAATGGTAATAATATAGAAATTGAATTTAGTGATTTAAATTGAAATATTGTGTATTATTGTTGCGGTAGCCAATTCATACTGGGTTTAATTACTAGTCAGAGCAATTTTTAATTAGATCTACTTGATCTGGATACCAAGACATTCTGCGTCCAATTTCATACCTGCACCCAATATTTTGAGTTACAATTTTGAGTTAATGATAGCTATGGTAGGTTGTTCTCATAATGTTTTGAAATTTGAGGACACAGTTTATCCAGCCATTAGACTTTCTTGGTTGCACTATAGTCCCTAAAATACAGTTTTTCTATATAAACTGGAAATAGTAGTGTATCCACAGGTGCTGAAGTCTCATTTAAACTGACGGTATCCAGGAATTTTTTACTATTGTTGTAAAACCAGTACAGTCACAGAGGCAACATTGTCATGCACATATTACTACTACTATATAAACTGCATATTGCTCTGTGATAATG